CCGGACTAGTCCAGCTGGCTGGGACCGAGTGACCTGAGCCCCCCTGTGGCCAGGCTCCCATCCCGGGCTGGGCAGCAGGTGCATTGCTCACCGGCACAGCCGGCTCAGGCTCCTTGGGGCGGACCCTCTTCCGGCTCCTCTTGTGCTTCCGCAGCCTCACGATCGCCTCCAGGTCTTGGAGACTCTCCAGCCGCACCCTGGTGCTGTCGAACGTCTCAAGCTGGCCGGGGGGAGGGCAGAGAGCAGGTCAGGGCAGAGCCAGCAGTGCCTGGAGCTGGCACCAGCCACCCAGGAGAGCGGACAGGAGCTGGGGCCATGCCACACCCAGCTGGGTTTGTCCTGAGCACGGGACAGGAACCGGGGCACTCAGGGTCCCCCCAGAGACATCTAGGCCCATCTGAGCTCCTGGCACAGAGCCAGTTCAAGGGGGTCAGATTCTAGGATGGGGGGGGGAAAGAGAGCTAGAATCCCCGAAACCTGGTTCCACCAGCCTAGGGAGACCACTGTTGAATGCTACAGTGCTCTCCGCTGAGCAGGAGCCCAGGGCTGGGACTGCAGGGGCTGTGGGTTGGGAGTGAGGGGCTCCAGCAGAGATGGGGGTGGGGGAGGCCAGGGCTGGGGTAATAGGGGCTGTGGGTCGGGAGTGAGGGGCACCAAATGCCATTCTGCCCTTCACAGAGCAGGACAAGCAAGCACAGAGTTAACACAGAGCACAGAGAGCTAGAAAGGCTCTGCCAAGAGGACTGACACCAGGACTGGGGAAAGACCCTATGGATCCTATAGGATCCTGCCCCCTGGAGCCGGAGATGCGCCCACCCCACCCTGCCAGGGGCCAGCCGCTCACCTTCTTCCTCCTCTCTTCCTTCACCTTCTGCTTCTCCTCGCTGACGGCATCCCGGACCCCGGCCACGCCATGCCGCCAGCCCTCGGGCTCCTGCGCTGCTCCCCTCGCCAGCACCTCGAAGGCCCGCACCTTCCCCTCATACCTGTCGCCACTTACCTGGGGAGAAGGAGGGGCAGGAAAGGTAGAGGGTGCCGCCAGGGCATGAAATGTAGAAGATGGAGCATCCCCATGGGACACGGGGCCTTTCCCCTCTGGGGGGCACCGGCTCCAGCCCCAGG